ACGAAAATAAGGCAGTAACCATAGCAAAGATCAGTTGTCGAAGGGTTGTCCGGCTGTCGCTTTTGTCAGGTTCAACATTGTATTGAGAACGCAGTTCATGCAATCCTGCTGCGTTACCATCCCAACGCTGTCCTGAATGACCGTGCTCAGCGTCTGCTCAGGTGGGGGGTTAATAAGCAGGCGTCTCGCCGACGCTTTCACCTTAGAAAAGACGTGTTCTACCGGGTTTAGCATGTACGAGTAGTGCGGCAAGAACTGCAGGTGATAAGACGAACCAAGGATCCTCCTTAGCTCATCAGGCATATGGATCCTGGCATTGTCAATGATCAGCCACGCGCCGTTCATCTCCATTATGCAGCTTATACGCGCCACCAGTTCTTCGACGAACGCTGAGAACTTTGCACCATTGCGGGTGCCATCGTTAATGATCTTTGAATGGATGACGCCTTGGTTATTCATTGCAACAATCAAGGTTACCATGTGACCTCTGACTGTGGGTAACACGACGTTCGCGCGCGTCACTCTTCTTGAGCGAGCCTGAGTTCGTCTCAGATGAAGGTTGAAACCACTCTCATCTATGAAGATGCATTTCTCCTTGTTAGAAGGTGCATGTGCCGAGAACTCGAGAGCGTACGCCTGTCGGCTAGCGATTGTCGTGGCACTGTTGACTCGGTCGAGCTCGTAATGACACTTTTTGAGAGTTATCTTTAGTCTTCTGAGGGCGTTGAAGACAGAGGATACTGATAGGTTTATCCCATTCTCTCTCAGGCGCATCTGCAGCTGCACCAACGTGTCCTCAGAGTGCCGTTCAACCGCTTCTTCGACACGCTGCAATACATTGGGAGTCAGCTTCTCCTTATTGTTTCCACCGCAGGTGCGCTGTGTATTTGAGCCTTCTCGCTTGTAGGCATTAATGATGTTCCTTGCCGTACTCGCGTTAACACCGGCGACTTCAGCGGCTTCCCGAGTAGTTTTGCCATCGACCAGCACAAGTTTTGTGAGAATTTCTCTGCGCAAATGATGTTCGCCTGCAGTGCCGTCGCGTCGGACACCAGCTCTCCTGTTGTTCGTCACTCATTTTGGTCGTTTCGTGCGGCACGGAGCTAATAAAGCTAAGTTGGGTTGAGTGGAACCATTATCGTATGCTTGGCTCCAATAGTGGTACCGCTGCATAGGTCGGTCCGCACACCCAGACAAAACACACGAATTCCTATGGGGGGGGGGTGTAGGGGAAAATAGGTCACCGATTTTGACCGAGGCGAACGGCACTCATGTCAAGAGAAGGGCTTACACAATCACCCGCTACGTACGCAGTGCGGTTACATTATCGTGACCACAATGTGGCCTGAACATCGTGTAATCGGCCCACTCCTCAGTAGTTGATATGTTGCAACAATAGGCTAAAGATCTAGACTGGATTTGCTGGGGGTCATTACAGCCTACGCTGACACAATAACGTGGCAGTTGCGAAAGCTAATAGAGAGACGGGCGAAGCTGGGACACCGCCTACCTGCTTCATCCGACATGGTCCCATTGACCGAATCGGACAAGGTTCTCTCTAATGAGAATAACGGTGCACATTGAGATTGCGCATCGCAATCCACTCACAAAATGATTGATACACAATTACGATTCGGAAGTCCGATTTTCCAACTGTCACACACCTACACAGGTTGATGCGTATGGGCACTGCACACCAACTAGGCGAATGTCAATGGGGAGAGGGGAGCGTAGTTCAGAACTTCGGTCGCTGCTCACGATCAAGCAAATGTTTTACAGTGTAGCCCGCTGCTTACACAATGCCGGTGTATTAGCGTCATCACAATGTATATGCTGAACATCATTCAGCAGTCTTACTGCACGTTTCTTACCAACAAATTGGCGAGTTGCTACTTGGATTGCAACGTGTCCAATTTGTTTTGCAAAATGCCCAGTTTGGTTTGCAAAATGTCCGGTTTGGTTTGCAAAATGTTCAATGTGGTTTGCAAAATGTCCAGTTTAAAGTGAAAATAATATATATATATATATATATATATATATATATATATATATATATATATATAAATGGTCGGCGGCAACCTCTGCCATATTTGCCTGTCAATGTGACTAGTCACAGGACGCCTGCGCTTGCAGAAGGACTATGGTTGGCTTGGGCTGCACCACCCACAGCTCCAACCACAGACCCCTATCCAATGTAAACCCGAAGGTATAAGACCGGGAGGCATGTGGATGGGAGCCACGTTTCCTAAACCGGGCCGGCCCACATTACTTCACAGGCAAACACAGACATGCTGTATTTGGGGATTCAAGCGCACACAAGGCAGTGGCTGGACCATTGTCCGGTCCACCCGGAGTACATGGAACCATTTTTCGGCGAACAAATGAGGAACTGAATTATCAACCCGAGCTACCAGTTTTCCAAAACATCTTAAACCATTGTTCGAGCCTAGCGCGGCCACAATACCGTGCAGTCTGTCCCCCCCCCCCTCCCCCCAGTAACGACCAACTGTCTCCTGGAGCCGGTATGAACGAGGTAGTGGGTAATAGACGGATAGGCACCTTGTCATCATGCGCATCAAGCGCAACCACACCGGGGATATCAAGCAACAGTCAATCACTTGAAACGACAAGATGAAATAAAATACATCGAATAATGCATACAAATAAGGTGGCATTACTCTTCGCTAAATTAGCACATGAAGTGAGTTAATTAACAACAAACGGCTAACTTTTATACGCGAAAATTGATGCGGATTGGCGGAGGTACCTTCACTGCAGGTCAAGTAACGTTGGTTTTCCTAGATTTCTAAATAGGCCGTTTGATGCCCTCTGATTGCTAATGTGCTACCGGTTTCCCTGCTCCTGGGAAGCTGGGTACGTTAGACACTTTTAAAATATAATCAAGCGCAATCTAATTAATGTGCTCATTAACCAACGGGATAGAAGCAAGTGCTGTAACTGACCATTTAATCAGTACTGGACACCCATTTGACTCTCATTAGGCATTCGAACTTGTATATTGAATACTGTCAATTACATCCTCATTTGGAGATTAACGATTCCGAATCTGTGCATCCGAGAGAAGGAGGTGTATTGAACTTGGCGTTGGTTGGGGTTTGGTTCCCAAAGACATTTGGCGCGTCTGGTCTGAAACATTTGTTTTCATACCCAAGAGCTAACTTCATTGGCGCTCGCATTATGATTTTTTTTATCTCTCTTCTAACTGGCTGGCTTTCTCCTCTCTCCACTTTCAATGTGAAGCGTAATAAAAATAAAGTATCACATTATTTATTTCCCTTTCTTCCTTCCCCCACGTACTTGCCTTGTATTGCAGCACAATAGCTATGGCGTTTCCCATCATTTATTAGCGTGTGCGATAATGCTAATCGCGTTGTGATGATCATTGTTTTTTGCATTACGTTCCCATTGCCCCTATACCGATCGGGTGTGCCTGCGATTGCTGGTCATTGATGATCCGATTAGCTCGATGGCTCCACAAATAGGTCCGCATAATTTATGTTCTGTCGTAAGCGTTCCACTTTAGCCGTGGCGACTTACGAAGATTGATTTTGGTTTGTCGGGCCAATAGTGCTAGCGAGCTCGAGGGGCATTACTATTAAGCTGGCAGTTTGAGATGAAACCTTTGGGCAATATACTGCCTGCCATTTGTTATTCTCGTGTTCTACACGGTGCAACTTCCATCATTGCAGTGCTTGTGCTCATCTCCTATCTGAACTATATACTTAAGCTGTGTATCTGATTTAGTTGCTGTTTTTTGTTATTTTTCCGTTTTGGCTATGTGACTTGAGTCGTTGATTTCTGGTGTCTTTCCTTTTCCTCGTCCCTATCTAATGGGATTTCCGGGAGTGCACTGCTTCCGTACGCTGATCATTGTCCATCACTTGTCGTTCCGTTGTCGCACTGGATAGATTTTTTGAACTCATTTAACCTACTTTAATCCGGACTGCCGCCAATATCGGTGTGCATCGTTTTCCATCTGTTTGAGTTGCCCCATTTTACGACCCACTGATTAATTGGCGAAAACTTGTGAAGCACCGTTAGGCGGATCCAACATATCTTTTAAGATCTGGGTTCCGAATGGGTCATTTGTTTGTTTGCCTTAACTGATATGGCACATTTAGGAAGTCTGCGGCGCTCTTGCATTCGGAATCTCGCTTTTAGCTGCTCACCCTTTTATTCGATTAATAAGGCACTATCCTATTTCCCCTCATTTTACCTACTCTTATTTTTCGTTCCTTCTTCATTTCTTCACTGCCAGTTGTTCCCCTGTTCACCGAGCTTGGTAATTTACTTGTAAACGTTTAGCCATCATGCAAAGTGGCATTGTCAGTGCAGTGATATGCAGGGTACAATTTAGCTCTGTATCATTGCACTAACGATGCCACCTCGCATGGTGACAAAACGTTTGCGACCAAGCTCGGGGAGCAAATGAACAACTGAATCGTCAACCCGAGCTTCCAGTATTCCAGAACATTTCTTCACTGCGATTGCGTTTTGTGCCGGAGCGACTAGACCCATGTACCCTGATGCCCCGGGCCATACTTAACTGAACTGAGTTGATATTTGTCGGATTCCTAGAAAGACTGTGATCCTGACTGCTTTTCATTAATTCATAATGGGACAGTAGCTGACTTGTCTTAGATTTTTATTCATGCTCACTGATCTGGTTGTTCTCCTTTTCTTCCCGATGTGGCATGGTAGGCAATCACTCTTTTTTACTAAAAAGTCACTGATTGGGTATTCTGTTTAGCATCAAACTGCATTAAGCAGCACGATTGAGTGCCAAAGGAGTTGAAGTCGCGCTTTTTTATGCGACAGTTTTAATTCTGAATCCTGTCATGTGTCATGGTGCAAAATTTACGCTCTGCAGGTCTATACTTCTTCTCACGCGATCAACTTATCCCCTTCGTTTTATTTATTCCTATACTTCTTTACAAAGCGAATTCAGCAAACACGATGACCGTAAAGGGCAAAAAGGGATGCCTTCCACTTCATCATGTTATATTCTCTGTCGTTCGGTGTCTTCCGATACTTTCAGCGGAGGTCTGTTCCTTCATTACTGTTCCACTCTGGCAAAGCATCTGTGCCCATTGCGTGTGTGCTTTCAGTTGTGAACAAGTTCGCCGTCTTCTTTCCACCATTCTTTCCATCTGGTCGAATTCTCACCATTTTCCCTGTCTACTATTGCATTCCGTACAGTTTCTACCATTGTGCACTCGAGTTTTTGCTGCATTTGCTCTTTGTTTTCAGGAGTTGGGAAAAGTAGTCTTCTTCTGCGGTACACTGAAGACGAGTTTTCTGGAACCTATATAAGTACAATTGGGGTTGATTTCAAGGTACACACTGTTACAATCGGGGATCTCCGGGTGAAGCTGCAAATCTGGGATACAGCTGGTCAAGATCGATTCCGTACAATCACATCTACGTGCGTCTCCTCTTCGCACTGTGCGCCTTTTATTCACTTATGTATTCGAGTATTTCCGATTGAACCAGCAAATGGCGTGGAAAACCAGAATCAAGCGAACTTTAATAATAAGTTGTTTTTCGTTTTGCCATTAAAGCAGCTTATTTCGACTGGTTTCCCAGTCGTTCTGTTGGGATTGTCTGCATGCGCTCACTGGCCTCTGCACTCGGCATCTTGAGATGATTTACGCCTCGTGACATTGTAACTTCTATATTCACCGCTGCTTTGAATCATCAGTTCGTTTAGTATCGAGTAAAGACTAGACTGAGTAAACTCGCTCATGTTTGCATCGTGACATGGCTTTCTAGGTTTGAGCAGTTAGCAAACAGCAGCATGCACTTGTACCACAATGAAAAACCGAGCTAGTCGACCTAGTTATGCTGACAAGTTAGTAACGAGAGTGAAGCGACAAGGCTTCTGACAACGACACTCTGAATTCCGCTTTGACATCTTGCGGCTTTTCCCTAGCTTAGTCGACTGTTTTAATCACTCCGATCCCAGTATATTCAAATGACACAAAACAGGTTAGGAAGACGACCGATTTCGTTACTTCATAACTAACATGCATCTTCCTCATTTGTTTGTTAATTACTGCGCTCATCCTCGCGTTTGAGTGCGGGAGTACAACTTGTTCATCCACCATCTCGCGCTAAACATTTTTCTGCTGGTGCAGGAAATTCATGTAACAGTTTGTTCTGTGGACAACAGCCACATATACACACTTATGATTTCTACCTTTTGTGTGTCTGTGATTGTAAAGAACAAATTAGTTTCTCTATGTCATCCATGGGCCTAATTACTTTACCGGGTTAGTAGCCATACAACACTGGCAATGTGGTTACTGTGGACAACATTAACTCTGTTTCATCTCTGTTATACAAATGGCCAAGTCGCCAACCACTCATCCCACTAGTGTTGGATTCAATCTCCCTCCGTATATTCATTTTTTTGTTCTCCTGCTTCATATCGCACATCGCATAACGATGTGCATGCGTGATAAGACACGTATGTCGGTAGACTAGCTATTGCATCAGATGCTTGCGTTTCTTATGCTGTCAACGAGGCAGTGACATCCGCCTACCTATATTGTTGCGTTCTGTCATGGTATCATGTACATCGCGGTCGCACACACGCGTTGCCACAACTGTTTCCCGCAATAGCTTGATATTTCTAATGGTTTGCTGTGAATATATTACACACTGAGCCCTTATTCTTTTTAGTCGATTAGTCTTTATGATGTTCTGCCCGGACATGCCTGATGTTTTTTTTACCCTAGCTCACGATCAAAAAATAATTCGAATGGGACTTTTAATTAACCACGATTATAGTACTTCCAAGTGACTCTGGTCATCCGCAGTAAAAAGATGTATCAGCAGTACCCCGGTGCGCAATACCGATGCTTTGCTGCCGCACAAACCACCACCAGTCGCGCGTAGGCTAAGGATACCACGATGGTCGCCCGGTCCCCTACGAAAGCTCCGACTCAGGCTTGTCATCTTTAGGACCACCGGCCCACTGGTCATTTGCATTTGCATAGGTCAGTTCATCAATGTATGCAGCAGTTGCCCACCGCTTGCTGCCAGTGGTCTTGCTTGGTCGTAATGAGTTTTGTTAAGTTGGTATTATCTTCTTTACGTTCTCCCTTCACCTTGTCACTGTTATCGTTGTGAGTGCGTATTCAAACTGTCACGTTCCCTGCAATCTTTCTCCTGCGCTATAGCTCTTATACAGCCTCTTCCACGCTTGCTTAATACATTCTCAGATATTATCGAGGAGCACATGGCATCATTATTGTTTACGACGTGAACGATGTACGAACATTTTGCAACGTGGAACGATGGGTTGCGGAAGTCGATCGGTACGCGGACGAAACAGTGGCTCGGATATTGGGTAAGCCTAATCCTAATGGCCTAATTAAGCTCCATTTCGGCCAAATTGTAGAGGATCACTAATAGTAAAGTGATAATAATGACAATGTGTCAGATGTACACCGTAACGGCGCTTCGCTGCCGCGCGACCACCACCAGTCGTGCGCGGGCTGAGTATACCGCGAAGACGCCCAACCCGTACTCGGATTCGAACCGGTGGCATTATGGTTGCAACCCAGGCGCGAACAACACCACTCGGCAACCGGCGTCTTTCTATGTCCATTTATTCGGAAGCTCTTTTGGATGTATCTGGGTGATTGCATCACATTTGTTGCTCACATAACCGGAGGTACTGTCGCCTCGCGTACTCCATAATTCCGGATATCCTTTGATTGCCTCGCCCACTTGTGTTGGTGGCGACATCATCCTGTCGAGCAAAAAGATGAGTGAAATCACAGCACTGAAGGTATTTCCACGAAATTGCCCGACTCTCACTGAAACAGTGACCATTCACATAGCTTAGTGACAGATGCATAAAGTCCGAATTCATACTGGTTGCATCTCTGCTCGCCGCTTTAACAATTCATTTTACGTTTTTGTGCCACGCAGTGATAAAAAACACGTTCCACAGGCTATCGAACTCGTTCACTGTACTTACAGACTGATAAAGTCGCATCATCATGTCTCCCATCCGCTTCGAATACGACCATTACGGGGCATTACAGATATAGCACTATCAAGTGTGTTATCACCACAATGAATAAGTGTTGAGTGCGTTATCGAGGCATCTTGCCACCATTTTTATTTTACCTCAACGCATGGATCTTCGCATCCCTTCTCTCGACTCTTCCCCGTTTTTGTTGCTGTTACTCATGTTTTGTGGCACTCTGCCAAATGTTTATTGCTCAAGTGTTGGCGGCATACGGTTTCGGATTTGCCTGTCACTGTGGCCAGTCACAGGACGCCTGCGCTTACAGAGGCAACATGAGTGGCTTGCGCTGTACCACCCACAGCTCCAACCACATATCCCATATCCAGTGTATACCCGAAGGAATAAGACCGGGAGGCATGCGGATGGGAGCCACTTTCCATCAACGGAGCCGGCGCACACTCCTACACAGGCAAACACAAGCATGCTGTATTTGGGGAATCAACTGCACACAAGGCGGTGGCTTGACGTTAGTCCGCTCCACACTGAGTGCATGGAACCACTCTTTGAGCCTAGCACAGCCACAAGGTCCGTGCACCTCGTCCCCTCCAGCAACGACCAACTGTCTGCTGGAGCCGGTATGGACGAGGTAGTGGATAATAGACAGGTAGGCACCTTGTCAACATGTACATCAAACGCAGCCACACCGGGGATATCAAGCAACAGTCAATCACTTGAAACGGCAAGATGAAATAATTACATTGAATAATGCATACAGATACGGTGACATAACTCTTCACTAAATGAGCGTATGAAATAAATTGCTTGCAACAAATCCGCGAAACGTTCAATACGTCAGCAAATATATTTTAAAAGATACGACAACCGTGAGCATTTTATCAAAGTTAAATACAATTGGCTTCAGCGACGTGTGCAAGTTTATAGAAGGTAGTTCAGGTAGAAATTAATATGAGAAAGAAAAACATTAGGACAAAAATGCAAACCCACCACCTGAAATAAAGACACTCAGCAAGCGGTTAGTAAATCGAATGCAGCGTTCCTACAAACGCTGCGTCGGTTCTGCGTACGTTCTCCGCAACATCCGTCAGCGCTTCGGTGGTGGGCTCGAGTGGCCTCGCTCAGGGCTCACTAGGCCTGCCTGACTCAGGCACTCGCGACCGCATGTGCTACAGCACCATGCGCTCGATGTCGACGGAGTACAATCCACCGCCGCGTGTCGTTTCCGCAATTGCCGCTTCTCTGAATACCTGAGGGCTTTCTCTTGCAGCTTGGCAACGGCCTTCGTGATCAGATCGCGCCATGCACGCCGATCAACCGCCTTCGATTCCCATGACCTGCAATCAATATTAGAACATGAAAGGCTCACTTTGATCATGTCCTGGTAACGTAACTTTGGTTTCCCCAAATGCCGGTTCCCAATACTCAGCTGACCATATAGTAGTTGTTTCGGTATCGGCGTTGAATCCATACGGCTCACATGACCGAGCCACCTCGAGAGTATGCAGTCCATTGCATACATTCCACTTCAGCGCAACACTTCCGTGTCCGCAACTCTTTCGCCCTGACCGATGCGCAGAATCCGTCGCAAACACTGTTGTTGGAAGCGCTCGAGATATCGCACCTCCCTCCGGTACATCGTCCACGTTTCACCGCCGTATAGAAGAACGGATAACACCATGGATTTTTACACCATCAGCTTCGTATGGGCGGTAAGCTGTTGGTTCTTTCACACGCGGTACTCAAGCTTTCGGAATGCCGCCGCTGCCTTCGAGACCCAAATCCGAAGCTCACTGTGTAGCTGCTGGTCAGTTGACATCACACATCCAGCGGGAAGTGGTTTCAAATACTTCAACACCAATGTTGATTCGCGGCAATATTGAAGATTGCACCTCCGGTGAAGGCTGAAAGAGACAGACAGTTTTGCTTGTGTTGATGGTGAGCTCGAATTTGGCCGCTGTCGAAGCCAGAGCATTAGTCATGTGCTGCAACTCATCCGAGCTGTTTGCAAACAACGCACAGTCGTCAGCAAACAGCAACCTACGGATAGTTGTCTTACAGAGTAGGATTCTCGCAACGAAACGACGGAGGTTCAGCAACCCACCATTAATACGATGCTCCACATGAACACCGTAAGCACATCCGATTCAAAAGCATAAGACATCATTGCATGAAGATAAATAATAAACAGGGCAGGAGCTAAGACACAGCCTTGCTTCACACCAGTAACAACTATAAAGTCATCCGAGGTCTCTTCACTCAGTTGCATCCTCACCCGGATACCACTGTGCAGGCATTCGGTTAAACTTACAGACTTACCCAACACCATCCACAATGCCTGGCGGTTCACCGTATCAAATGCCTTGGTGAGTTCATTGAAAGGCGCGTACAATGACTGGTTTCGTTCTCTGCATTTCTGGAACTGACGAGCTGCAAACACCATTTCTATAGTGCTGCGACCCGAACGGAATCCAAACTGCTCTTCCGCCACGTTAGTTTCTACAACCAGGCTGACGAGGCGGTTGTGCAGGATTCGGGCGATCACCTTGCCCGCACAGCTCAGCAAGTTGATGGCAGGATAATTCGTGCAACATTGCTTGCTTTCTTTGTGCTTGTACATTGGTAGCAGAAGGGCATCCTTTAGTTCAGCAGACACCTCAGCCTTTTAACGTTGCACCAATTGGTGCATCGCAGTCAACAACGCGGGTCCGTCGTGTTTCAGTACTTCAGGACGGATCCAGTCGGCCCTAGCACACTTGACATTTCGCAACTGTGCGTGTGCTCCCTGAGACTCATCCATTGTCTGCGTGTCTGCCACACTTGCCTTCACATCGTGCTCCTTGAGGCCGTTCAATGTAGGCCAGTGGATCTCTGAACAGTTGTTCAAGAAACAGTCAAAGTTCTTCCGCCAGATCTACATTATATCTGCAGTCTGTGCATGTAGCGCCTGAGTTACCATCGATCAGCTTCCTCAGCGACTCCAATCTCGGTCCATACCCTGCCTTCAAGGAGTAAAAAACTCATTGTGTTGGCGGCATTCGGTGTAGCATTCCATCTGCTTCGCCTTCTCCGTCCACCATGCATTTTTAATGCGACGGAGCTCTTAGGTCAAACGCCGTCGAAGTTTGCGAAACTGACTACTCTTCCCCAAGTCACTGGGGTCTGCGACATGTGCAGCAAATGCTGCATTCTTCCCCGACACCAATGCGCTAATCGTCGCATTGTTCTCATCAAACCGATCAAACCGATCAAACCGCTTACAGTTTGCGCGCCCGATGGTCTCCTCCGCAGCAACTGTCATCTGGTCGCGAATGTGGTACCACAGGTCGCCCACTATGGCTGTGCGTTCCACATCACACAGGCGTGCAGCCATCACCTTCTCCAGCTCAATACGTTTCTCCACAGTACCGATGGAGAGAAGGTTAAATTTACGCCGATTCACGGCGGGAGTGCAATACATTGATTTACGAAAATATATGTACAGTTTGGTCCGAACCAACTTGTGATCAGTGCCACACCCAGCTCCACGCAGTACACGTGTCATGCGCACTTCATGCATATCACGCTGACGTACGATGACATAGTCGAGCAGGTGAGCGTGACCACTCTGTGGGTGTGTCCAATTTGCTATATCACTCGCACTCATTGCAAACCGAGTGTTCGTGATCGTCAGGCCGTGAGTGGCACACAGTGAGAGCAGCCTGTCACCGTTCGCATTCGCTGAACAAATGCCATGCGGACCGATAACACCTGTCCACACCGATATATTACGGCCGACGCGCGCGTTGAAATCACCCAACAGAAATGGTTGGTTGCTCCTCGGCACAGACCGTATCACGGAAGATAGCTGAGTATAGAATTGATCACGCGTGTCATCAGGATAACACATGGTCGGACCGTACGTGCTTACAATGGTGGCAAACCTACTTTTTCCGAGTCGTAGGCGAACAGTCATTAGTCTCGCGCTGATGTCTGTTGATTCACCCACGAGCTAACCGTGGAGGCCATCGTATATTGCAAATCCGACCCCATGTTCACGGGGTGCTGAGGCGGCGTTGCCCACCCAGTATAGAATGTGTAGCCAGCACTTGCTTCATGCAACTTACCTTGCTCAGCGAGCCGGGTTTCACTGAGCGCCGCAATATCGATGTGGTAGCGCGCCAGCTCCATCGCGACGAGTGCTGTGCGTCGCTCCGGGCGCTCGCTGGAGTTCCGGTTCAGTAGTGTGCGCACGTTCCAGCACTTGATGCTGAGTGCTTTGCGCGTAGGCTTATGATTGCATTGGTGGAAAATCGCACGCGAGGTGGTCGTTGTGCTTCGGAGGTTTGCTTGAGGGACTCCACCCGGAGCCTTTG